AATCCTCGTCGTCAATCATTCATAAAATACAAATTTCATCAGGAGAACTCATCGATTTGTTGCGAATTCATTGAAATCTGTGTATATATTTCATAAAAAATGAATCGACATCCGCTTAAAAAGTTGAATTTATTTTGTTATTTGTGATGATTGTTTGATTGAAGATGAACAACGAGGAGCAGCCGAGAAGCAGATGTTGGATGAAATGAAGTTGTTGAGACAAGAAGGTGAACCGCTCGATGCACGACAACCTGATGGAAGCACATATGTGAGCAGTTTCCCTCAGTAACTTCCTCAGGCCCTTCACTAAAATCTTACTCTTCAATCTGCAGCGTTGAATGATTTCGGCTGAGTGACTACTTTGTCAATTCGTCGAATTATACTGAAACGGGATCGATCGCGATCGATCACCTATGAAACCAAAAAAAAACTGTCGTAATTGTAATTTTTGCGTGCGTTTAGTTGCATGTAGCGGCAGCAAATGGATACTTCGATGTGGCAGCGTTTCTGCTAAGATGTGGTGTGTCGCCGTGTGTTCGTGACAATGATCTCTGGATGCCAGTGCATGCGGCCGCATGTTGGGCACAACCCGATTTGATTGAGTTGTTATGTGAATACGGTGGTGATATCAGTGCGAAAACGAACAATGGCGAGACACCTTTAGGTTAGCTTAGGCTTATCGTTAGCTTGATAATCTGAAGCTGATAATGGCCAGATTATCACGCTGGCGTTGTCTTGACAAAAACTTGACGACGTTTCCACACTTTCATAAAGAAATTATTTGGTTTTTATGGATTGTTCTGAGTTTTTGTTTATTTCTGCATTATGGATTGGTTGAATCGAAGAAATTTTTGATTTCGGAAGTTTGCATTCGAATAATGTGGATGAACTGTTCAGTAACGAAGCGTTTGTTCAGATATATTATTTTTGTTTGTTTTTCAGATCTCTGTGAAGATTCTACAACACGAGCCGTGATTGTGACCATGCAACAGCAAGAAGCACGAAAGAAACGACAAGCGTTCGGTGTTCGAGACAGTCGAAGGCAGTCCAGAAAGTTTGTTTGCAAATCATTTGCGCTATCTTTACAGTAACAGCGTTGATCTAGCTCCGTATGTAGGGTGAAAATCAATTGTGAATTCCATTATCCGCAACGTAAAAAAGAAGTGAAGTAATTTGCGTTGCGGCAATGAAGTGTTCATCACGATGAAATCAGTTGTTCTTTTTTCCCGTTCGAAAATCAATTGTTAACGTGAATCAGTCAGTTTCTAATCCTTAAATCAGCCAGCCGAAAGATTCTGATTTGAAATTTGCAAAATTGCAGACGGAAAAAATTCGAATCACCTCAGCAACCAACCGCAAACACGGATAATCCGTTCTCGGCTCGAGGTGCCATCAGACGTCTCTCATTGCGCGATCGATCCGGAATGACGTTGGCACGACTGGAGGCACAGAAAGAACAAAATGATCTGTTGCGATCGTGGAGTAAAGAGGACGTTTCAACGAATGTAGGCGTTTGATAGTGTGCTTTGGAGGTTATGCTCATGAAGAGACTGTACGATATCGTGCAGTGGCGATGTAGAATTCTGTATTTTCATGGTATACTGGGCTCATTCAATGGCAATAGTGTGGAAATGTGTATTTTGAATGATGATATAAACGAGAAAAGAGTTATGACTTGAAATTATTCAAGTGTTTTCTGGGGAAAAATATGTGATGTTACTGATCAGTGCAGTATGAAATGCTCCAAATTTGATATGACTTCACTTCTATTGAATGACGTTAACGATAACTTTCTCAGGATGATATGACACCGTCAGTGTGTAGTCCTGCGTCTGGCAGCCAGCAAGACAGTGGACTCGTACATACTGGAAGTGGACAATTCGTCAATCACAGACGTGATAGTCCCAACAAAAAGGTTCTTTCGTGTTCAATCGATCGCT